CATTTTGTAAAAATTATTTGCCAAACACTGTTCCATTGTTGTGTGTCATTGAGTCAATTCTAGTGGCCATAGGGAAGAATAGAACAGCTCTGTAGGTTTACTAGGAGTCCTGGTGAGCTACTGTGAGTTAATTTGCTCAACTACCAGGTCAGTTTGAATCGCAAGGTCAGCAGTTCAAGCTTACCCTCCACTCCTCGGAAACCCTACACAGGGTTATTGTAGGTCAGAACTGATTCGACAGCACTTAACGACAATAACAACAGTCCTTATGGAGGCATCCTGGTGTGGCATTGTAGGATAAGCACTTCACTGGTCAGCAGTTCAAACCCACGAGTTGCTCCTTGGAAATCCTATACAGGGTAGTTTTGAGTTGGAACCAACTCCATGGCACTTAACAGCAATTTTCATAGGTGTAGATGGCTTTTCTGCAGGAGCCATTGGTGGATTTTTACCGCTGACCTTTTGGTTGGCAGCTGAGCACTTAACCATTGTGCCACCACACAGACATCATACCTATTGCTGTGAAGTTGATTTGTGACTCATAATGATCCAATACCACAGGGTTGCGGCTGCTGCTGTTGTTGTTAGGTGCCATTGAGCTGACCCTCTATAGGTTTCTAAGGAGCGGCTGGTAGGTTTGAACTGGTTTTCAAGGCTTTAAATATTTATGGAAGCAGACTACCACGACGCTGTCCTGTGGAGTGGCTGGTGGGTTTGAACTGCCATCTTTTTGATTAGCTGAATGCTTTAACCACTGAATTACCTGTGTCATTGTGCCACTCATTGTGTCACCAAACCAGAACATGTTGCTGCTGAGTCTGTGCTTATTTATAATGACCCAGGAGGGCCGAGTAGAACTGCCCCACAGGGTTTTCAAGGATTGTAGTTTTTACAGAAGGAACCGTGGTGACACTGCTGGTTAAGCATTGGGCTACTAACTGCAAGTTGGCACTCCAACCCATTATCTGCTTCTTGGGAGAAAAATAAGACTGCCTGTGCCCGTAAAGATTTACAGTCTCAGAAACCCTGGGTCAGGTCGTTGTGTGTTGGAAGTGCCTTGAAGGCAGTGGGTTTGGTTTTGGTGTGTGTTTACAGAAGCGAACTGCCCAATCTTTCACTCTAATGGCGTAAATGGTTGATTGTTATCATGTGCTGTCTAGTCAGTTCTAACTCATAGTGACCCTGTATAGTGTTTCCATGGAGCAGCTGGTGAGTTTGAACCATCAACCTTATGGTTCCCAGTCTAGTGCTGATCCTCCAGTGCCACGGTGGGTTCAAACTACTGACCTTTTGGTTATCACCCAAGTGCTTAACCAGTGAGCAACCAGGGCTCCTGAAACACTATTTTAATGTAACCTTTATTTTGTATTTGTTGTCATTTTGTTTTCAATTTAACTATTTAGTATATTTTGTCTGTATGATTGTTTTTTGCCATGTGATATGATTTGAAGGCCCTTAGGAATAGTTTCAAAATTGCTAAGAAGCTTTCTCATTCTATTTACTGTGTAATTGTATTATTTTTTGTTGATTTTCGATGTATGTAATTTGTTGGTTGCTACTGAGTCAATTCTGATTCATTAGCTACCACCTTTTGAGCACTTACTATACCAGGCACTAGTTTGTGTTGGAGTCCTGGTATGGTGCTGTAGGATAAGCACTGGACTGACTGCTAACTGCAAGGTTGGCAGTTCAATCCCACTACCAGTCATGCCTCAGAAACCCTGCATGGGGTCTTTATGAGTGGAAACCAGCTTGGTGGCACTTAACAACAATAGCAGTCTATTGTTTTTTCATCCAGACTTAACCCTACAGCATTGCTTGGTTTGAACTGCAAGGTCGCCTGTAGTTCAAACCTACTAGCTGCTTCTCGGAAACTCTATACAGGGTCCTTAGGAGTCTGATGGTACCAAACAACAATTAACCTTGATTTGCAGATAAACCAAGGCATAGGATGTCTAAATGAAGCGCTGTAGGATCATCACTGGACTCCGAACCACAAGGTTGGCAGTTCAAACCCACCAGCTGTTCTTTGGAAACCCTGTACAGGGTCACTGTGAGTTAGAACCCATGGCACTAAACAACAACAACAGTGACAACAATGTTAGCAGTGGTGGAACCTGGATGTGACTCATGAGTCTTCTTTCTTGTATTGAATGCCTATGAATAGCTTTCCTGAGAAAGATCTTTATATTCTGTCTCCACAGCTAGTTGTTGTAAAGTTCCATTGAGTTTCCGAGGAGCTGCTGGTGAGTTCGAACCACTGACCTTGCAGTTCAAATCTACCTTGAAGTTGAGTGCTTATCCTGTAGAAACCACAACAAGTACAACTACTTTAATCTTTATGCTGCTGTTAGTAGCCGTAGAGTTGGTCCCAACTCATGGTGACCCCATGTGCAATGAGTTCAGACTGTTGTAATCTTGCAAAATTGGTGTAGAGCTCATATCTGATGTCCTCTAGCTTCACAAGGGGGAAGGAGACTCAAAGTCAACTATCCAAGGCTAATTCCTTTGAGGCTGAGGTCAAACGTACCCTCCAACCTCCAGGGTTCTTCATCCTATTCTGATGCCAACTGTCCCTCTTGCATCACTCTGCTTCTCTGATGACTGTAATAATCCGTTGCAGTTCCCAAACAGAGCTCATAGACATATTCACGATCATGGGGCTTATTAGGGAAGTTAGCAAGTACACAATTCAGGGTCAGAATACAGCAGTTCCTCCAACAGGAGTGCCTCTTCTCAGCTTTGCCACAGTCATGCCTGTTTCGTCCTTGGCCTCTCATCTGTGCTTTTGGCCCCTTGGCTTCTGCCCCGCTCAGGCATGTGTTAAAGGTTTGCTGACAGGTGCCCAAAGGTCACCCTATTCAGCAAGCCAGCTTCCTGCCTGACGGTACTCACTTTTACTCAGTCCATGGGCCAGGAAGCCCGCCACTCTGTCTCTTCTTGCTGCTGCCTCTGCTGCTTCTACTGGTAACTGCCACTTCTCAAAGGGATCTTGGGGTCTAACAAACACGCTCTGCTAGTGGCTCCTATGTCTTTCTGATAGCAAGATTCCTGTTCCTGATTCTGCAATGACTCATCTGAAAACAATTAGCCAGTCCCCACATTAGAGTCCTGTACATCCTATTTGCTGAATCATTTGGTGGGAGTTATGAAGACTTTGGATAGAAGAGCCATGCCAAGTAAATTAATTGTAGGGTTTTGATTCGCTGGGTATTTGGAAGTGAGTTGCCAGGTCTTTTCTTGTTAGCCTTTCTTAGACCCGGTCAGTATCATAGTAATGTGCAAGCCTCCACTGACACATGGGTGGTGACTGTACTGATGTGTTTGGGCTGTCTCCCACATGGAGGGCAAGATTGCTACCACTGACCCATCACTGCCCTCCTTTAATCTGTAGAGTTTAGAATATTCCAGAGCCTATACATTGTAAGGCTTAATCTGCTTTATTACCTTTTTTTTTTTTTTCTCCCCAGAATTGCCTTCATAGTCTCTCTGGTGTTGAATGACAATTTTGTTACCTCCTCAAGTTGCAGTTTTTCTTGAAATTGCATTCAGCTTATTCATTAAGAATCTCTACTGAGATAGTTATAAAACAATGTAAGTTTAAATTACAATTAGTATTTTCCCTTTTGGCTTTTAATAAATGTCTATTGATTAGGGAAAAAAGCCAACAACAACATATTAATTTCTGGGAGGAATTTATATCTTTTTATTTTTCCTAAAAGGAATATGCACTGCATTGGACTGCTAACGACAAATTTGGCAGTTCAAGCCTATCAGCTGGTCCTCGGAAACTCTAAACAGGGTCACTATGAGTCAGAACTGACTCCACGGTACACAACAACAACAAAAGGAATGTGCATTGTCACTTGGTTAATTGAAATAATTAATTTAAACTTTTTTATATGCAATAAGATTACTCCTTTCTGTTTCTGTGACTTTTGTATGTGTTAACATTTTTTTTTAAAGATCATGTTTACTTTTATAGGAGAAAGATATGACTTTAAATGACTGTGTGGAAAGACTGCTGACTAGTTTCTAAAGCAAACTCAAACCTGTTGCCAAGTGGATGCTGATAGTAAAGAAGGCTTGGCTATAGTTTATATAAGTAGCTTGTGTGACCTGGAGCATATGACTTAACTTCTCTATGCCTGTTTCCTGTCTGCCTGAATTATCTGAACTTCTGCTTCGTTCTTCGTATTCTTCCCTCTCTCTTAGGCAGTAGAGTCCTGTACATTAAAATGAACTGATGGGCTAAGGTCAGGTCCTGCTCATTGGTATCTCCCAAACTCCACCGCTGAAGGCATAGGGCAAGATCCCCATCATGGTTTTTTGGTTAATTGACTTATTTGCCACAGTTCATTTTCCTAGTCTGTTCTTTTATAGACCCAGTATACTGGGTTTTGTTCATAGATAAATAAAGACGTTTTCAGCTAGCCACTTTTCTCTGAGACACTGGATTTCGCCCTGGACGTGTTCTGCAGAGCAAATAAAAGCATCGGCAATGCTGCAGTTGGAGAAGTAGAGTGGAGGTTGTAAGCATGAACTATAAGATCTTGTTTAATATGAGTTTAGTGTTAAAGTATGTATTGCTAAAAAGGAATTTATTGGAATATTGAGGATGACATACGTTCTTTAAACATTGCATACATAAATAACTTGATTTCTTCAGTTAGCTTCTAATGCGCATTTTGCTTTTCTCAAACAGGATTGCCAATTTGTAAGATTCTGTATGAACACATTCATCTGTTTCTTTTAAACATGTTGTAATCATGCTTTTTAATATGCCATAGTATCAGCGTTGTAGGATAAGCACTGGGCTGCTAACTTCAAGGTCAGCTTTTCAAAGCCACCAACTGCTCCAAAGGAGAAAGATGGTCTGATACAGATTTATAGCCTCAGAAACCCTATACAGGGTCCCTGTGAGTCAGAATTGAATTGGTGGTAGTGAGCTATAGTATACCTTGGCAGCCTAGAACTAATTTTGCAAACTCTTTCTACAGAGTTTAAGAAGACTTTTTTCAAGTGTATGGCATAGAAGATGAATTCTTCCTCCTCCACCATGAACGAAGAACCTGATGCTCTGTCGGTGGTTAACCAGCTACGGGATCTAGCTGCAGACCCGTTAAACAGAAGAGCCATTGTCCAGGATCAAGGCTGTCTGCCTGGCCTTATTTTATTTATGGACCATCCCAACCCCTCAGTTGTTCACTCGGCGTTGCTTGTAAGTTGTGTTTAGTAAATTCCACTCTCATTGTTTTTATTTTTACCATTAAGGAGAATTTGAAAAAGCATTAAATGACATGGTGAAAAAGCCAAACAGGCAATAGAGTAAATAGTAGTAAGTCTTCTTCCTTTATGTACAAACAAGTGTTTGTTATTGTTGGTGTGGTCTAGTCGGTTCTGGCTCATAGCGACCCTAGGCACAACAAAACAAAACTGCCTGGTCCTGTGCCATGCTCAGAATTGTTACATTTGAGTCTATTGCTGCTGCCACTGTGTCAGTCCATCTTGTTGGGGGCAGTCTTCCTCTTTGTCTCTGACCCTCCACTTTACCAAGCATGATGTGCTTCTCCTGACATGTCCAAAGAATGACAAGGTCTCACTATTCTGGCTTCTAAGGAACATTGTGGTTGCATTTCTTCAAGCACAGGTTTGTTTGTTTCTCTGTCAATTCATGGTAATTTCAGTATTCTTTGTCAATAAAAGGCATTCTTTGTCGATTAAAGCCATTCTTTGTCAATTAAAAGGCATTGATTCTTTTTATTGTGAATTATATGATAGTCGACATGAGAGAATCTCAGTTCTGTATTCATTCCATCGTATATCATTACATTGCCATGGTTCCAATCCCCTCCATGCATCGTCTTCCGACCAAAGGGCATATCCTAGAAGCCCGTGGTCTAAACTCCCCACTCCCCACTCAGTCTTCGGCCCACAGTTCCTCTCCCTCTCTGGATCCAAAGTCCCCAGCCGCTTCATCCCTCCATGTCATCATCTCTGTCTCCATCTCAGGCATCCCCGGTTCTCTGGGTGGGGTCCCGTTCTCCGCTCTTATCCGTTGGTGGTCCCAGAGACCTCCGCTCCTAGACTGGAGAAATAATTGCTCTCTTCTTGCTATAAAACATCTACCCTTGCATTTCCAACACTCACAATCCGTCTTGATAACCATTATTCTATACAATATCGCACGTAACCCGACTGTATTTCATTTCATCAGCTCCACCTAGACAAATTGGATAGTACTCACTGATGATTCTGCCTTCCTCCATGCCCCCTAGCTCTAGGTTCCCTCTTGAAAAAGCTTTCAAGGTTCCCTCTTGAAAAAGCCAGTTACTTCTTGCCTTTGTATTCCCTCCCTCCCCATTTGGGTATCCAATGTCCAAGTTTCCTCTCTCTGTCTACTCTGTGTGTGGAGGGGTGGGAATGTTTCTTGCTATAAGGATTTGTTGCCTCTTTTGTGTCACTGCATTCATATGCATAGGTCAAGTTCATCAGCTTGGATCAGCTCAATCTTCTTTCCCCCACTCACCCTCTTCTTTCTTCTCCTGGTTGAGCTCTGATCATCCAGTCCCGGTCACGTGGGTGTCATCTGCAAATGTGGATGTTCTTGTGCACATACTCTATCTTCTCATCAACCGGCAGCTCCATTCAACATTTGAGTCCTCCTTGGCCACGTCACTGACTCTGGGCCCAGGAGTCCTCAGGTCTCCTTGCACTGCTTGCCAAACACAGAAGCCCTCTGAATGTTGTGAGGCTTAGCTCGCCGTTTCATTGCTGCCTTTACCCCCTTTCTCCCCAATGGTGATGCGTTTGTTTACCAATCCGAGCGTGCATTTCCACTGAGTCTCAGTTTTGGGGGGCACCTAGGTTGGTGGGACCCGACCGACTGCCCCAATGTCGTGTTGTTCTCCCATCTGCCCCTTTTCTCTACTTCCCTCTCCCTCCCTGTATATTGCCCCCCCTCCCCATCACCCAAGCTCTCCTGAGCCCAATCCCCGCCCTGTGCTCCACCCTCTGCCCTTCCCCCCACCCACCACCCATTTCCCAGCAACCAACAAAA